TTAAGTATGTGATGTTGGGTATGTGAATTGATTATGGTTTCTTGGGTTATATTTCTTTGACCTTATATTCATGTTTGTATTTCAAGGTTTTTCACCTGGTTTGACCTGGACAATCTTGAAAATAAAAAGCAAGAAAGCAAAGAAGTCCGAATCTTGGTCATTGAGTGGAATCCACTCTACACTTCTTAGCAAGCTGCCCTTTCAAGTGGGGGGCTGCAGTTTGACCCTCACAAAAGTGAGACACTTGACACACACAGTGAATTGTTTGCTGCCGAAATAATGCATTGAATATCCAATTTTGCTTTAAACAGTGTTAGAGACGGAGGGTGAATTTTATGCACGCCATATTGTATAATACAATGGAGAAAGAGAAAATTAATTTGTATGTATGAGCATCCCATAGTAATGCAAGCAATTGTTGTACTCCGGCCACAGCACAATCTTTTGATTTGTTTGCAAAACGCATATACAAAAGTTTCCCAGCTAACAATTTTATAATAGCATTAGTGTTGTTTTCATTTAGTTTTCCATTGTTTCACATTAGAATATGCGAACCAATCGATGTTTTCACCACTGTCAGAAGCACATAGATCCTAAACTGTCTCGATTACAGAAGGTTTGGCCGACCTCCCGGGAGTCATTGGCTCCCGTTCTTTTCAAAATTCCATCAAAAACCGCTTGCATAGACAAAACGCTGCGTTGCCAGATGTAATGCATCATTTATTTATTTTCCCCATAACTTGGCGTTAAAATATTGCAATCACTGCGACGTTTTCTACCGAAGAATGAGTGAAAGGAGAAAATTGCTCAGGTTTTCTTCCAGCTTTGATTTAAATCCTATCAGAACTAAAGAACACCATGAGGTAGCGGAAGAGTAATAACTGAACAAGCAACAGCATAACAAGGTCACTAAAGTGAAAACTGCAATGGCTGCATACGATACCTGATTCAGCTTTGCCCCAAACACATTGGAATAAGGGATATAACCTTCCCTTAGTAACCTGTCCTCGTGCTGGGATATTAACTATTCCCGCCTCACAAATCTTAATTGGCACTAATTCTATTCTAAATGTGTCAATACCATAGAGAAGCATCTCAGAAATGTTTCTGCAAGTGTGCCGTCTCATATTGGGAAATCACAGTTTTCCTAATTGTGGGTCAGTTGCTGATACGGTAGAAGTACATTTCTCCTCAGAATCTTTTTACTGCTGAGTTTTGAGCGGCTTGTGATGCAGCAGCGGTGGCAATAATTGCATTATAAAGTCACGCTGGTAAATAAATATATATATGTGTGTGTATATAAACAAGCTAACTGAGGATGAGATTAATCTCTAATCATATACTTAGCCCCAGTGTGTAAAAAGCGCTGTACGTTTTTGTTGATCGACCCGCTCCAACATTCCTCATAGTTATGAGCCTCCTTCCATCAGCACATTTGAGCACATTTTGCAAGGTTTTGGCAAAACACACTCTTCCGCTCTCCTCTCTCTAATTGTAAACCTCATAATTCCCAACTACACTTATAAACTGCATTGGTTAGTTAGTTACAATATTCCTCTCTTTGATCCCAGTTTGCTTCCAGGTAAATTTAAAGTAAAGCCATCTTCATGTTAGGGGATTGAGTAATATGCCATTTATTGGTATTGACTTTATTACTTCAAATGGGATCAAAGTGTTTGGG